GCGACCTCCTCCTGTCCTCCATCACGACAAACATTCCAACCGCAGGGGTCACCGCGACAACGGGGAGCCAATTACACACCAGTGTGTTTGATCAGAACAGACGGCTGACGCACACACACACGGGGGCGTGCGCACCAACACACTCGACACAATTTCCAGTCCACGCTCGCGCCTCCATTCAGCTCCGAACTCATCTCTTTTCGGCAAATAGCTAAAGTGGCGTCTCCCCTCTTTAATTTGCATGCCTGTCAACGTCTAAGAATGTTTATATGTATTTCATTTATGTGTCTTTTTAGCCGAGTTTGTTTTGAAATCCGCAGGCATCTGGAAAAAGAGGGAGAAGATGCAGGCTGAGGAGTTGTGTAGAGGGGGGTGCGACGTGGTTACAAACACATGTGACAAGCGACACAGGACCCCAGTGCCCCTCTGTAAATAGCATGCGTGTGTGTCCACATGTGTGTGTGCAGCGCAGTATTGTATAGTCCAGCCCCTGGGGTCCTGTGGGTGGTGGCCCCTGATTGTGGCTCTGCTGTCACATCCCTTTACGAGCCATCGCTTCGCCTGTCATACACACAGAAACACGCACACACTCGGAGACACACACACGGCGCCTGGCCTGCCATGTCCCTTAAAAGCCAGGAAACACAGATGTGGCAGCAGATTAATGTTGTATGGCCCAGGAGCACGCAGAGAAGCACACAGACTTTGACACACACACAGAGCCTCGGCTTGAGTTCTGTCACAGTTAGCCCTGCAAAAATATTCGAGACAATAAATGGCACCTGCGGCACTGGCTGGTAATTTTAATGTGATAACGTTTAATTTGCTTGGTCTTTGGTCCGTTCCTCTTCCGAGACTGTCGGCGCTCTAGACTTTCTGTGATTTCGAAGAAGTCAGGAAAAACATGGCAATCAGATGTGCTGTTAAAATACTGCCGTCTTAAAACCAAAAATGTAAACACTTTGTATACATGCATATGGCTGGAATGACAATACATTTGACTTGACTTGTACTTTGCCTGCTGGGTAGCTGAATTAAATTCAGTTTTATTTATCCAGCACCAAATCATAACTTAAGTCAACTTTACCTTTTGCTTTACACTATTATGAACAGAAACCCAACAATATACAGTTGAACAAGCATTTGGTGACAGTGGGAAGGAATTATATGAAGAAACCTTCAGCAGACCTAGGTTTAGTGTATGTAGCCGTCTGCCTCGACTGGTTGGGGTGAGGGGGGAAAGTGGAGCAAGAAAAATGAAAGTTGCAGGTTGTTGAGGGCAGTAACTGCAGGTCAGAAACAAGCAGAACCTGTAAACATGACAGAAGATAGCACACAAACTATATGAGTAGCAACACACACTGATTATTTTAAAATTAATATACAAAAGTTAAAATAAAACTGTTCATCCACGAGGTTAAACAAAAAAAATCTAATCACTTTGTTAAAAAAAAAGACAAAAGATCCAAAGAAGTGTGATGTAACTTAATCAGAATTACAAGCACTGCTACAAAAGCCATGTTAGGCTGAACACCAGTTATTAGTATGTCAGCCATTAGAATCAGCGCTTTGATATATACTAAAGTCTTCAAAGCACTATGAGACCACTAACAGAGCTAAAAAAAAAAAAAAAAAAAGCATCTCTGCCCTAACTGCTGGTGTATCTGTCAAAAAACAAATATTTAATATGCTGCAGGGAGCTGCCTCGAAAACCAAATCAGTTTTTCAAACACAACCTGCTCTGACAAACGGGGATGACACCTGCCCGATCAGCGAGCTGTAATGAATCACCATAGACATACTGAAGTCTCCTGGATCATTCAGATCTTCTGTACGTTTATGTTATGACAGCGTGTTAATATTAATTCAGTGTTGTTGAGAAAACTGATTATATCTGGTGACTTATACTGCATTTCCCATGAACTGTAGTTAGTGTGGAGGCTGCAAGGTGGTTCAGTGGTCAGCACTGTTGCCTCACAGCTAGAAGGTCGCTGGTTCGCGTCCCAGTGATGACACCCGGGATCTTTCTGCGTGGAGTTTGCATGTTCTCCCCGTGCAGCGTGGGTTCTCTCCGGGTTCTCCGGCTTCCTCCCACACAGTCCAAAAACATGTTGAGGTTAGTTAGTGATTCTAAATTGTCCGTAGGTGTGAATGTAAGTGTTCTTGGTTGTCTGTCTCTAAGTGTAGCCCTGTGATAGACTGGTGACCTGTCCAGGTGAACCTGCCTTTACCCTGAGTCAGCTGGGATAGACTCCAGCCCCCTGCGACCCTAGTGAGGATTATGCAGTGTATAGATGATGGATGTAGTTGGTGTGTTAAAGCTGCAGCAAACTAAGAATGCTTTATTGCTCAAGTTTGGAAGAACATTAACTGTTCATAAGCAGATACGTCCAAAAATAATTCAGGGAGATGCCTTCTAAGTGAATCATGTGGGTTTATGTGTGCGGTAGGAGTTTAAAACAGAACTTACTGGGTATCTGTTGATGAGATGTCCCCTGGGAATTGCAGTTAACTTCAATTGTCTCTTTTGTTTTTTTACTTGCACAGGTTTGTTAACTAAAAAAAGCTAGGTGTTTTCCCAACAGCGGCTTATCATTTCAGTTGCATACTAATCCCAGGTTTAGAGCTGGCAACACAACTGGCCTGAACCCCCGAAACACCTTCTCTAACCAGTACAGGCGTTGACTAACATTGGTGCTGTAGCAGGGATGTAGTCAGTCATACAAATGTACTAATTAGAGACCTTTGAACGTGCCGTTTTTTTTATTTCTCTGCATGTTTATGTGGCACGCTTACTGTGCATGCAAATCTGTGCACAAAAGCAGGAGTTTCTATGTGTTGTCCAACCTCATCAGAGGGATGTTTCAAACAGCCACATTTGAAGGTGGGCTGAAATGCCGGTCGTCACAATGACAGGCGAGACACAATGAATATTTAAATATGAGGAAAGCAATGCACAACGTTAGACTGTTTCTCTAGGAAGACGCACAAAGGCTTGTTTGTACACATAAAAAGCAATAAAAAAAGAAGGAACTACTTAAGTCCATGCAATGCAGTAAAAAGTATGTGTAAACCAAATGTGAGCCAGACAGGAGGATGAAGGCCAAGGAGGGAGATAGCTTAGCCTCATTCATCAGTAACCTATAATCTGTGAATCCCAGTTGTCTCTGATGAAACTTTGTAAAACTAGCTTGTGTAGGTTTACAAACTTTAGTAGAAGCAAGAGTTGGCGGTGATCCTCAGCTCTCCGTCCACCTCTTCCTCATCTCTTAGAATATTTAAATAAAGAGCTATTCTTCAAATTCTGACATCCAGGGGAGATGCATCAGCTGGATGAAGACACATCTCTAGCCAGCAAACTGTAGGCTGTCGTAGGTGTAGTAACTCCTGGTCGAGAGGAAAACCACCGCTGCTGCTAACACGTTGTGTGTCATAGTGTTGGGGGGGAGACTGACGCAATGCTCCGGTGCATCATCGAGCTGTGATTTCTGGTCTGGCCAAGAAAAAAATAGAAATCAGTACCGCATAGTGTCTTTCACATGTTTCAACAGTTTTTCTGTGACATGTATATGTTTAGGAGCAAATCTCGAAATTTCCTTCTCACAGACTTCTTGACAAAAGCCAGGATCAAGCTGCGCTCGGCACCAAATTGTCACTTTCCAAAAGTCATAAACATTGTGGAGTGCAGTGCATCTAAATCTGATGTAGGAAAAGAATGCTCGACCATCTGACGAGCCTTCTGTGGAAGCATACTTGCCTCGAGTATGTGGGATGAATAGATGGAGGCCATGGTCTACTATTCCCAACTGCACTTCCAATAAAAGATCTGTGGCAGCTGATGTTAAAATAAGAATTTCCTCTTTTGTTGTTTTAGATTAACACACAGAATCTGACTGTATGCACAAACTGGCACTAGAACAAAGCAACGGGGACGCGCTCGGCCCAAAGACGAGCATGAATTATTCGAGCGGTAACCTGTATTCTCAGCAGAGCTCTTCTGTTTTTAGGTCTTCAGCCCTTTTGCAGGTGAGCCAAAAAGTTAATTTCGGACACTGCACAGATGCCTCGCTGTGCACGAGGCCCTTTTGTGGAGCCGAAAGCGCTGACACATACCGAAGTGATCTATCAGCGCGGCGCCACTCGCACTAGCTCATCACCTCGGCGGAGGAGCTAGCAGCGATCATACTGTCTCGCTTCCCTCAATCTGCTCCCCTCACTCACGCTTCAGTCAGTGCCAGTCAGCCTTCTCTGCCTCCTCGTCCCTAACCTTGTCTACCTCTTGGTTTCCCCTCTTCTCTTCTGGCACCCTCATAAATGAATCATCACATCGCCCAGCAGAGCAGAAATGTTCCTTAATTGCACCGACATCACCAGCGCTGTCTTTCACATTCACACATATCAAACACACACACACCGTTAATGGGTGGTGGTGGTGGTGGTGGTGGAGGGCGCTGCAGCTCGCGTGTCTCGCTGTTATGTGCCCTGTCAATGCAGCTCAGTGTTTAAAGCGTGTGTCCATGTCCTCTCTCCCCCTCATTGTTTTCCTCCTCTACCATGTTCTCCCGGTGTAATGATTTGGATCAGATGCTGTTGTGTGGAACTAGGATCTCCCGCCCTCCTCTCTCTCCCCCTTCCTCCGCCTCCCCCTCGTCTCTCACACTGGCCCTCTGGCTGACAGGCATCTCGTTAGTGCAGTATGTCTGTCAGTGAGGTTTGAGATTGAGCTGTGCCCCCGCATATCCCTGATGTCTCTCTCTCTCTCTCTTTCTTTCTTTCTGCCTCACACACAAACACATTCGCCGGCTAAGTCGACGTCGGCTCTGAACAAGACAAGCCTCTCTGGCCTCAATAATGATCTGATGTCCTGCACTTTTAAGATGTCACCGTAATGGAAGCGTTATTTTTGTCCCACGCGCCAAAGAAAACCATTTCGTTAAACGTTGTTATCTCCCCCTCTCCCTCCCTCTCCCTCTCTCTCTCGTTCCTTTCTCCTCTGTCAGGTGGAGATCAAGATGAAGAAGACAGATGCCATCAGATGGGAGAAGCTGGAGGGAGAAGGACAGGAGTCCAACATCAAACACTTCGATCCCAGTCAGTCCATAGCTTCGGCATTTTACACCCTTTCCCCCCGACTGCTCTCCCGTCTCTGCTCTCATCACTCCGTCTCTCCCATTCTCCCTCAGCCTCTTCTTATTTCTATCCCTCTCACTGCAAAGATCAATACGAGCTCCTGTGTTTGTCTGTTCGGCACTAAAATGAGAGTGGGCAGTCTGGAGTCTTTCATTAGTCTGACGGTGAAAGCAGGCAGGGAGAGGGAAAGGTATGACAGCGGAATATGACTCAGTATTTTAGCCCACACATTCCTATTACTGACAGGATTAATTACTTACATAAGTGTGTGTGTGTGTGTGTGTGTGTGTGTGTGTGGAAGGGGGGGGGGAGTAAAAGTTAAGTGGGCAGCCAAACTATTTTTTTTATTTTTTTTTCCAGCTCAGTCTCGAGGACGCCCTGTTTATTAGTGCCTGCTTATAACTCGGACTGCTCTTACATTAAAACATGATATTTGACATCTGATTTTATGGGATCGCATTGCAGTATGTCCACACTTGGCCTGAATCTGTCTGGCGTGCGTCTGGCGCTGTATTTATGTAAATCTGCGTCTGGATTACATTTCTCCGCTCTCCCTCTCCCATCTCTTGTTGGGATTATAGTGGGCGTATTGCATATCTAGAAAATATAGAAATCAAATCACAATGTGACTCTTCGGCAGCCGAGTCGGACGGTTCAGCAGCAGAGTGAGTGAAATTAATTTAGACCTGCGAGGAAATTCTCGCTGGTGCTGTTTTTTTTTTTCCGATGATAAACGACAACTTAAGCATTTGAATTATTTTTTTTTCCTGCTTGTTTTGATTCATTACAGTTGTTGAAGAGCTTAATCTGCCCACTCATGCTCTCAGCTGGCTGTAAATCTTCCTGATTTGACCTGGAACTATAGACAGGTGACAAATTAAAGGAGAAACCTGAAACCTTGACGCCCACAGTGAGGCCGTTGGGCTGTAGGGGGGGCATTTAGCTGGCGTGGTTTGGGTTCACTTGTCCCCTTAGAGGGAGGGCTCACTGCAAATCAATACAAAGATGTTCCGAGTGACACCTATGGGAGATTTTGTACCGTGTCAGACAGCACCATCGTCAGAACACCAAATCTTTTAGAAGAATGGTGTTCATCCGTCCGTTTACCTCCAGTAGAGTTAAACTTCAAGGAGCATTGAAGCTGTTTGAGCAGCACATGGCGGCCCAACAACTTAATAAGACACTTTATGTAGGTTTTTCCTTTAAACGTCTGTGTATGAATGTGCCCTTTCTAACGCTGTTGATGCTCTCCATCAGATCAGTACCCCTCATCCTCCCACTTCACCTGCAAATGGGACAAGGTGTTGGTGGACCTGAACGAGGAGGAGAAAGATGAGAAGCTGGAGGGAGACGCGGCACTCAACAAGCTCTTCCAGCAGATCTACTCCGACGGCTCCGACGAGGTCAAACGAGCCATGAACAAATCCTTTGTGAGTATCACGATTAAGTCACCGCGACTCCTTTCACCTTGGAAAGTATGCTCATTAGTTGTGTCTTCTGAATTCACAAAAGAGATGCTTTCTTACAGGAAAGTTCTAGCTTGCATATAAAGCGTATTCTCAGAGACATTAAAGGTTAAACAAGAGTTATATCTTGATAACCAGGTCATATCTGACTCTTTTTATCTCGAACTTTCAGCTCTCAGTTAAACTTTCTTCTGGTTTAGTCTCTTTAAACCACAGAGTGCATCAGAATAAGATGTCTTCAGCTCTAACTGTGGACTCATCATCGTGTAGCGTGTTTGCAATCTGAAGCTTAAATTATTCATCACTTGCTGGTATTAATTTATACCATCAATGACATAATTTAAACACTAAATATTTCCTTCTTTCTACCCGACCTCGTCTCTTATCTGGCCCACAGCTGGTCATTTTTTCTGCACACTTTTTTCCTGCCTGAAAAAAATAAAAGCAATGTGAGCTTTCAAACTAAATTTTAAATCTGCATAAATAATTTATAACGCTGGTCTCGGGAGTCCAAACAGAACAACACTGATTTTAGCCCTCTGACAGAAAGATGAAATAAACTGCTATTTTTGCTGAATACTTACAGATCTACATGGGCAAGTAGCCAGCGAACCAGACAGCAGACTCCTTATTCTTCTCCAGTAATGAACATTTCATACTTCTGATTTCAAATAGCACAATTCTGCTTTAAGAAAATCTAAACAGATGCTTTGCAAAGATTACAAGACAACAACCACGACGCCGCTCTGTGCAGCAGCGCTTGGAGCCAGATGCTAACGTCAACACGCTAAACACGTCCATGTGGTTCGCATATTGGACTACAGCTGAGGCTGATGCACGGCGCTGAAAATTTATCACGATAAAATGTTTCATTTCAGTTGATATTGATCATTATTAATCATTTTTAATGACCTATTTTTAATAAAGACCAGCAGAGCAAATGGCCCCGGGATACTGGCATGAGAGCCAACAGGGAGAGCGATGGAGGGCGAAGATGCTCCGTTATTAGGGTATATAATAGGCTGTTATGAGCCAGGAAGGGAGCACGCTTTGTGTTTTTTTATTTCATGCAACTGAACTTTGTGGTTTCGTTATGTATTTTAATGGCAGTAATGCATTTAAGTCAAACTATCAAACGCTGATGAAATGTCTATCCATGGTACACATGTTGTTTTATTTCCCCCGCCCGCGCAGATGGGAATTAGTTTTACAGATATTTGGTTANGGTACACATGTTGTTTTATTTCCCCCGCCCGCGCAGATGGGAATTAGTTTTACAGATATTTGGTTAATTTAAAAGTACAGTCGTGACTTGATAATTCTACTCTTAACAATCCAAAACCTTGCTATCCGACAGGTTTTTAGGAAAAACGAACGGAACCCATAAAAACAGCCTTAACATACCGACAGCCTTGGATTCTGACTCCGACATGACGTTTTATGTCACCAATCAGGATAACGGCATATTATCTGACTGGAAAATCCCACAGATTGGCTACGTTCACACTGCAGGACTTGATGCTCAATGAAGATTTTTTGGTGAAATCCGTTTTTTTTTTTTGTTCACATTTCCAGTTAAATGTGACTTGTATGTGATCTGCTGTGTGAACTTCATACGACCCAAAAATGTCCCGCATGAAGAAGAGGACACGACGACGTCACACGCAGCGAGCGTGCTCAGTGTTTACGGAAGAAAACACGGACGGTAACGGTGGAGCGTATCTGCCACTCCCCCACCGCCACCAATGGTGGAAACAGAAGTGTGACCGCTAACTAAACTAGCATCAGCAGCCAAGTACTGCCTGTGCGTTCCGGACACTTCCACCCCGTCGGAGCGCTCCCCCGGGGTGGAAGTGGCCCTTCAAGCATCAAGACCTCCTTGTATCTCGACCTCCGTCTTGACAATCCGACAGCATTGCTATCCGACATAAAAGAAGGTTTTACATTTAGTGTCGGATTATCGAGTCACGACTGTCTTTGTTAAAACTAGATCGCTAAAGTTCTAACAGTCCATCCTGAAGAATACATAAACGTTTACCTCAATAACGTCAGCTATTGAGATATTTCCATCTGAAACAAAGTGATCTACTGACAGATGGATTGACACGGTCACATGTCAGTGCACCTAAAAGCCTTCTTCTTAGGGTTGTACTCTCTCTACTTACCATGTGGAAAGCTGACCTTTACGCTGAGCCAACTTTGGTCTTTTCCCCCCCTGCAGAGATGTAACTAATGTGGATGGGAACTGCATTAAAGGTGTGCTCAGACAGTAAACAAAGCAAATTGCGTTGTTTGACTTCCGGATCGTGAGTTTATTTGGCCCAAACAAACCTTCTGTAACATGCCCACGGCCTGCAGTGACAGCAACCCTCAGCCTCACACATGTACAGAAACATCCAGTCCAATATACACATTATTTTTTGCCAGGTTTGTGTTTACTGAATCTCTACAACAGAGGCAGCGAGCGCAGTGTTAGCATAGCCCACAGTCAGAAGGCAACAAATATGAGTAAAACCCAGCTTGGAAAATACATAATTTTCCTCAAATTAAGCATTAATGGAAACAGAAAACGGTAAAGCTCCATTTATTTACACAATTTGCATAATTTTAAATGAAGTGAATGCATCAGATGCCGTGTTGACTGATGCAGCAGGAACAGATTGTGTAATTAATGAGCTTCTGTAAGTGTATTAAAGTGTAAGGAAGGAAGTGTGTGTGATTGCAATTAAATGTTGATTGGCTGATTGGAGTGTGTCAGCATTCTGCGTTATTATTAATGACATGATCTGTGGATGATTGAGTTCAACTCGTAAGAGGATTCGCTGTCATTTCGAACATGTAAACCCCAAAAGCCGACGGCGTTTTTAACATTCATGTCAAGTATTCGTTCCTGCATTTCGGCTTTAACGCGCCAGACCACGTGACCTATTAGAGAGCAGCTGCATTTATGCAACATGCTGCAGTGGACTTATCTAAGCCTTGAGAATTTTTAAGCAGAGAGAAGGTGTTTCACTTAACTCTTTTTTTTTTTTTTTTTTTTCGTGCCGTGTCTCTCTCTCCCCTCTGCGCAGATGGAGTCAGGTGGTACGGTCCTGAGCACCAACTGGAAAGATGTGGGCAAGAGAAAAGTGGACGTGAGCCCACCGGATGACGTAGAGTTCAAGAAGTTCTGAGCACCTCCCTCCTCTCTCTCTCTCTCTCTCTCTCTCTTTTTTCTCTTTCCTCCCTCCTCGGTTTAACATCACCTCTCTCTACATTTGTCCACCTGAGCTCCTGGTTGCTCTGCAGCCTGCGTGGCCGTCCCTCTTCGTCGCCTCTTCCTTGTGTCAGTGTTTTTTCACTAAGTGCAGGGAGCCACGGCGTTCCCACTATCACTCCACCAAAACCACACATGGCCTACTCTCCGCAATAGCTCTTGACCGGATCGGGTCAGTTAATTTGAATAATCTGTTGAACGGATTGATTTACTTCATCTGATTGTGTTAAAGGCCAATGGACTCAGAAGGGAACTAAAATGCAACTCCAGACCCGACATGCTCTGATTCAACGTTCTTTTCTCTCCTGGTTTCCTCCAAACATCCACAGTCTGTTGTTTTGGTTTTTTTTTTATTTGGGAGCCTTTTAAGAGTCATTATTATCAACACTTGTATAAAAATGTAAAGTTGCTAAAAACAAGAACCAGCTGAGATGTTTAAATTCCAACTATGAATGAGTGTCTTGGCTCATTTCTTTTTTTTTCTTCCTGTGTACTCAGTAAAAAGTCAACAGCGATACTCGGCAAACTGACTTGTCTGGAATCTGTGTGACATGTCAGCCAGTGGCTTAGCACCGGCCGTTCCCTCAGTGTGACTCAAGCTTCAGTGTAAATAAAAGATTTGTTGTTTGGCTCACAAACTTTGTCTCACGTTTTTTTGTTTTTTTTTCTGTGCAAAGTGTTTTGGACATATTGGAAAGTCTAGGAATAGATCACTCACACACAAAAACAGCAATATATTATGACAGGGAGCCATGCTGTGTGATTATGTGCTGGGAGCGATAAAATGTGGTATTACTGATACGAGTGCAGGCAGTTTGTGATATGGCTGACAGCTTGAGGATACGGTTTACGTATTGCGCTTCGATTGATATCAAGTAGAAGAAGCCCCCCCCCTGCCCCCCCTGAGTTGTTTGGCCAGCAGGCGAGGATGCAGCCCCGAGGTGGAGCGGTGATTTTACAGGGGGAAGATGTGGGGAGAACGGGGGGCACCTCCCCTGTTCTCCAACCACACATATGCGGCAGCTGAGAGACTGTGAGGGGGCGTCCTGCCGAGGCGAGAGAGCATTAATATGGATCAGCTTTCCTAACCGCATCATCAAGCCTCTCACACTGAGTTAAGTGTTAAATTCATCACACATCGTTTCATCTCTCGTGACGATCAAACGCCCATTTGTGGCTCTGGATGGAACTCTTAGCTTCCTAACACTTTTTTTTTCTCTCTCTCTCTCTCTGACACACACACACACACACTCCTCCAGTATCCGTGACACACACAAACACACCGCCCCCATCCTTTACCCCCCTACCCCCGCCCCAGGCAGCTCTGTGACATCAAAAGGGAGCTAAGCGCTTTGCATCGTGGGTAAGATCTGGGAGCGTGACGGCTACAGAGTCTTTAGTCTCATTAAAGAGTTCTAGAGCTGCAACTCTCACATTAAAGAACTCTGGAAACTTCTCTCTCTGCTCATCCCTTTGGAGCAGCTACCAGATGTGACACTCCTCAAACTTGAATGTTTTCAGGCGTGGAAGAGGGAAGAGTGGGGTGTTTCCAGACAGACCCAGGAAGTGTTTACATATAGGACGTAAGGTCACTTGGAAGAAAGAGAGGTGCCGCTTGAAAGTTTACTTAAAAAAGTTTATTGCACTTTGATATAGCTTCTTCAATGCAGATGAAAATACGTTGAGATGAAAGTTCTGAGAGCAGAAGCGCTGTTTTAATGAGAGCTACTCATGAGGACAAAAGAGGAGGGAAAAAAAAAACACAGGAGTCAAAAATATTTGTCGAAAAGTAAAACAAGCAATAGATGCTATTTAGGGCAGCTGTTGAACTTCCCTATAGATTTATTTACAGAAAAGCAAAAAGAGTGACAGAAACAGACTGTATGGATGCAAGCTTCTTCCTCTAGATAAATGGGTGATGTCTCATAAAACGTGTGGAGCTGCTGGATGCTGCATATCATAACTTACTGTATATTCATTTTGACAGCATGTTGTAGTTCAGAAGGATCTAAATCGATGGCTGCTATGTTTTTTTAATAAGACAAGCCGAGCAGCGTGCAGACTCTACCTTGTACATGTGAGATCATGACTGTCCTAGATTCGGCACCGTGCATTTCTAATGTGTGGACACTTTTACTCGAATCTGCTCAGGTGCCTACAGTAGATGAGAATAACAAAAACCACCCTTTTCTTCCCTTCATCTCCCCTCCCAAGGATCCCCCATCCCCTCCCTCCCTCTTTCCCTCCTTTACTTCCTTCCCTCCTGGACTTTACCATCTTTCAGGTAGGGGGGTGGGGGGTGTCTACACCAGACCCAGAATGCGTGCCACCCACCACTTGCAGGGCATAATAACTCTACAGGCCACCCTGCAGCCCCTGTAGTGGTAAGGCCACGGGTGGTAGCCACCCAGCGGCTCGCAGATCCTCTGGCAGTGGGTGTAGCCGCGGCGGCACTCGTTGCAGCACACGCCCTGGTGGTCCAGCATGGGGTCGATGTCCATGGTGCCCTGCTCGCCCTCCAGGCCTCTCTGAGAGGAGGGAAGAGAGGACAGTGGTCAGGGTGCGTTCTGTCCGGCTTGTCATCTCTAGCTGCAGAAAAAAGCTCATTTCAAACCAATTAAAAATGAATTTCCGACAGGCGGGATGGGGAGGAGGGGACGTTGTCAGATGTGGGTTTTTTGTTGTCAGATATTTTCTTTTTCAACGCTTGCTGTTTACCCCCCTCTGCAGTTGTCAGGAGTGTGTTGGGGGGGATGCTTCAGTTTGAGGGATTAGGAGAAGTGGGGCCCAGCATCGGGGTGGAGGATGTGGGATCTGGGAGGGAGAAGATGTGAATGTATGGGAGTCTTGTGTGTGCTTAGCAGGGCAGAGGGGCCACAGAGGAGGGAGGAGGAGGAGGAGGAGGAGGAGGAGGGGATGCTGTGGAATTATTCATACAGCCTCGGTGCTGAAAGGAAAGCTTTGGACAGCCACACACAGAAAACGCATGCACCCACGCATACGCCTCAGATTTGCAGTGACAATCCGGGCCCTCCGCCGTGACCCCAGCATCTGCTGCCGCTCCCGCAGCTGTGAGAAACTCTCCTCGGGAAAAGCCTTCTCAGGTAGCCCCTGAGATCCGACTGGACAGTTGCGAGCGCCGCCGCCTGACGCAAACACGAGGGAAGAAGAGGAAACGTGCGAGTTTGTCGGCGTGACTCACCTGATAGGGGTTCTCCGGGTTGAACTCTGCCTCCACGTCCTCCTCCTCCTCCTCGACCCCGACTGCCTGCCGGCGCTGGCGGGGGGCGGCCCTCCTCTTCCTCTGGCCGCCTGCACACATCACAGTTTCAGTATCTGACAGCAGACCAAATTTAGGAGCGGAGTGGCACTAATGTGGCACGGCTCCTGATTGCACAGCCGTTTCTCTGGCAGCCTTTTGAAGTCCTCAGATGAAGTAGAATAAAATTGTGTTTGGAGAACTTTTGACCTCCCGGCATGCTAAAAATTGTACACTCAGTAGCTCGGAAACTTCATAAGGACTTGTGCTTTTTCTTTTTTAGCCTGTTTTTTTTTTTCTTCTCCTCTGTAGCTGTAACAGCTGCAAAGTTAAATGGAAATACTTGAGACCATTTGACCCACATCCTCTTTGTTTGGAATAAAAACTCACATAGTCTTTGAGGGGAGAAAAAAAAAGGTGCTTTTTTTTTTTTTCCTTTCAGATTTACATTTTTCAAATCTTTATCTGGAGAAGTCTGATTTCTTACTGGTTGAGTAGGTGGGGCGAAGCCAGAAAATTGGCAGGTCTTCACACAAGTCCTTGATCTTGTTGCTGAGGAAGGTGGAGTCCGAGAGGGGAGTGTCGGCCGCCACCCAGATCAGATCGTCCTCAAACTTGGCCGGCATCACCTCGTCCTCCTTCAGGGAGAGAGAAAAAACAAAAAACAGAAGGTGAGGCAAACATCACAAAAAATCCGTTGCATAAAAATCACACTTGTTTATGGATCCTGTTACTAGCTCGCTGCTTTAAATAGCTCCACTCCTGTCCGAGTCTAATCTGCATTAATGCTGCGCCGTTAATGCTCTTTAACAGAACATAAAATCAGTAGTAAAAATGAAGACCTGGAGGCTCCAGCGCACAGATTCCCTCAGCACTAACGTTTAGCTGCATCCACAGTGTCAGGATGCATCAGCGTCTGAGGAGAAAGAGGGATTGGATGTCCTAAATTTACAGGTTTCAGCAGATAAACTAATGAGGTTTCCAGAGGGAGAGACTGTGTAAACATGCAGCCTGCAGGTAAAAGGGGAATTCTGTGGGGAGGATTTTGCCCAGAGGCGTTTGTTCCTGAGGGCTGCACTGCAACTAGCCACAGCCATGTTTAGGGAATGTTATCCTCCAACCTTTCAGAAATGCTGCTGCTGGTTTCTTTTTTTCTCTCTCTCTCTTCTCTCTTTTTTTTTTCCAGCTCAAATGATTTGCTGGAGGGACAAATAAAAGCTGGGGTCCTTCTTCACTGCTCGACTGACTGATAAGAGTTTATCTGACCCACTCTCTCTGGATGGAGTCGCATGTTTGTGTGTGTGTGTCTGTGTGTATGTGTGTGTGCTTATCTAACCCATATTTGCCATCACTCTAAATTATAGCAAATGACCAGCCTGCAGCAACCATTACAACAACATCTCCATGTCTCCAATCACACACACACACACACATATATAAACACACACTACGTACAAATGATCATTTATGAGGCAAAGAGAGGCAATAACACAAACGCACACACACACACAAAAGCACAAATGTGAAATAAATGATCGTTCATGAGGCAGACAGAGGCAATAAGAGCAGCCCTGCGTGATAATTAATTGTGTTCTCGTGTGTGTGTGTGTGTGTGTGTGTGTGTGTGTTTATGCTCGTTCATGAGAGCGATTGCGGTGCTGTGGATTTATGTGGATGTGAGGCTTACGCAGAACAAAATGATTTTAATTATCAGACAGCCTCAATTGAACAATCACAAGCTGTGGCGTCGGTGTGTTTTCTGATAACAATCCTCACGCAGACACACACACACACACACACACACACACACGTTTGGCTCTGTCGACTGAAAGTGGAGCTTTTACTGTGTAGATTTCTCTTTTTTTTAATCTTAACAGAGTCCACCGAGCTTTTATATGATGGGAATCCTCAGAGGAAAATCACCTATGTGTTCCAGGTAGGATACCGCCGCATACATTTGCATCACATTAAAAGTGACAACGATGCAGTAATGCAAGTTTTAGTATTCATAGGAAAGACTTACATGAAGGGTTTATACATTAGAACCGAGTGGCTTAAATTGGCTCATTATAATATATTCATTGTTGCCCTATAGTTCGGAAATAAGCCTTTTTTTTAAAGACTCCCTTTGGTGAAAATCTACTTTTTAACCTTGTTAAGTCGTCTATATGGTACTTTTTGTGTTAGAGAATAAGCAAAATAAGCTGTCAAGGCCATGACTGAGCACTTTCACTTAAAAACTGCAGCGTACCGATGAAAACAACATGACAGCCAGAGTTTCATTCACAACGAAAATAAGGAACCGATGCTGTTAACTTGCAGGTTTGGACTTTCCATAATCATCATACTTCTTTAGAGTCGGCTTCTGATTCGAACATGTATGGCAAAGAGCAGTTTTACAGTGTTTGAGGAGAATCCACAGTGAGCTGGTGTGCTCGAGCTGCTGCAAGTAATGGAGGAGGGGATAGAAAGAGAGGCGGAGACTTTGTAGAGCTGCAAATTCTAGAGAAGCAACGATGTAGAACCAGGGGCTGTTTTCAAGTTTTAAAATAAAACAGCTAAATGTGTAATTTTGATGTTCTTAGATGAGTTTTGGGGATTAAATCAGTTTCCATAGAAGGACTTAAAGAACATCGTTTGGGTTGTCAGGTTTGAAATATCCCTCCAGCAAAAGTTTCCCTTAAACAAAACTTGATTTTTTTTTTTTTTTTGCTGACTTTGTTTTTTCAAAGTGAGCAACATGCAACCCTTTACAATAACCTAATTAGTCAAATTGTCCTTTCCTAAATATTTAATTAGCTTGATACCTGTACTCCGCGTAAACAACACGCTCACCGTGACGATGTAAACAAACGGACGCTTAGTGAGAAGAATGGTAGTAATGCAAGGTCGCATATAAACTGTCAAAAAATAGCATCCTGTCCTTTTCTGAACACATTTTCCTGACTTTTATGGAAACTGCTATGAGGTAAAGAGAACATGTAAAGGAGAATGTATGAGGTTTATAGCGGCTAAGAGACTCCGTCCATAAAAGATGGATGTAGTGACACCGTTTAGTTTTTGGGGCCACTGTTTCACTCTGAAACCTCGGGACAAGTTAAGGGTGAATATCATCTACTATCAAGTATTTTCTTCTAAATTAACTCATAATTGACAAAATAACATCATGCTGGACTGAAGGAGACTTTAAAGTAGTGATTGAGACCATAAACTCATTAAGGAAATGTTTACTGAGGAAACAAATCTAATGTAAAACAGATTCATTTTCTCATAGACTTCTATACAATCGGATGCAACCAGAGAGGCGCCCCCTGCTGGCTGTTGTGTGTTGGTTTTGTTTTTCAGCGCTGGAGGTTGGCAGTTCAGGATGACCACAGTAGGATTTTTTCACTGGAGGGTCATGGCTAAAAAGACTTAGCATGACATGCTAAGGGAGGATAATTACCTGTCAGAAGTCATTCATTTAAATGGCTTATTACATGTCAATATAGAATAAACAGACTATTATTGGAAAAACAATATGAGATTCAACTTTGAGTAAACAGCAGTACCAGAAGTAATCAGTGTTCTTTGTCAGAGCAGTGCTGATTGATGATTCCCTCCACGCTAAAGCATGTTGCTGACTCAGTTATGACTAGTTAAGCGGATGTGTGGTTCCATCAATCGAAGACATATAAAACAAAACAAATTCAACCCACCAGATCAAATGTCAAAGCGTCCTTGTTCAGAGCCTCCACATCAGGCAGGCGGGCTTTCACCTGGGTCTTGATGTAGCACTTTTCTCCTCCTGCAAACCGGATCCCTGTGATCCCCTGGAAAAGTCAGGAAGGACAGGGGACACACAAAGATCTGCAATTTAAATCTCACATCTCCAGACGTTATATTCTTCTCAATAAGATTCATATCAGCTGTAATGTTACAACTAAAATTTTCTGATCTCGATCAAATTTGGTTTTTTTTTTTATTGCATTTGTGCAACATTTTAAATTTAAAAAAAATACAATCACAGGGACCACTGTGATTAAAGGTCAAAATTTCAATAGTTAAAAGGCTAAAACTGCTGCTTCACTAGTCTGATTGGCCTGATTGGGGCACTTTAATTAAAGGTCAAAAACCACCAGTCTGAATGTAATGAAAATTGGAGGGACAATGCATCTTGACACTGATTGCCCCTAAGGGGATAACTTGTCTACTTGCTCTTAATTTCTCTGCTGTGGTAATGAGCCAGTCTCCCCACAAGGGTCTTTTAAAGTTCCAGCCAATTTGATTGACTTCTTCCGCGACGCTCCGAGCGGCCTCCTGATATTTTCTGATTACTTTCAATCGAACTCACAATCTCAAAGTCGTGGACCTCCACGGCCTCGTCGGCCCCGCTGCCGGTGCTGAACCTCTCCATGTTGTTGGCCGTGTCGATCTCCATGGAGCCCTCCTCCACTTTGCCGTTGATGCTCATGCTGTAGTGGACATTGTAGACCTGCACAAACACACACTCAAGGGTTTCAGACTGGCATGTTAGGTATGAGAGCCACCCCACACCCCCCCCCAGCTCTCTCCTTCCCTAATCTTTACCCCGTGACTTTCCCCTCACACATCTCTTTTCTCAATTACTCTTTCGGATGCACATATTCATTCAAACCTGCTGAGAAGAATACAATCCTCACAGCTCCCAGTAATGTAATAACTCCTCCACACAGCCGCTCCATCACCTCTTAATAACATTTTCTAACTTCTCACTGGAAAAACACACTCGGGAAGCTACACTTTTACCTCTCATCTCGTACACCTCTTGCCCCCGGAGCATCAGCCGGACCAGAGAGGCCCCCCCTCCGCCCCCTCACCCCACCTTACCCCTCCTCACCCTGACAGGATCCTGCAGCAAATGTGCACAACGCCTCCATTCACCGAGCTCTGCCTCAGACTGTACCATGGAAATGGAGTGTTTAATTTACATTTTACTGTTTGCCTACACTGCAAAAAAAAAAAAAAAAAAAAAGTCATCTTGAAGAGTCCTACTGAGACTTTAAATTCAAAAAACTCCGCCAGTGACACCTAACTTTCACTTGTTTCCAAATCCCATAGAAGCAAACAGCTCTTATAACAATAATAGCTTTAATTGAGGACATTGTTGGAACAAACTGCTTTGAATTGGAAAGTAGTGGAATTTAGTCACTGCTGGAAGATTTCTTTAACTTGTTTGAATTAAAAATACTCAGGCAGACTCTTTAGGATGGCTTTTTTGCAGTGTAGGCAAACAGTAAAATGTAAATTAAACACTCCATTTACCTCCTCTTAGCTTCAAAACACAACTCCATCCTCCCCACAACACGTCTAGATAATAAAACTGTGTTAAACTGGTGCTTTTTAAACTCTGAATATCTTAATGGAGCTTCTTCAAGTGGGAAAAAAATAAAATACAATACAGTCTCGCTCCTTATTATTTCCCCTCATTAAGTTTTTTTTTTTTTTGCAGTGTAAGCTGAACTCACACAGAGAGGGGAAAGTAAGATTTCAGTCTCACGTGTTTTTCATTGTTGTTCCAGAAGTAGAAAGCTCCGACGGCTCCCAGCAGAAGCAGGAGGGCTCCGGCGATGAGCACCGCGATCCCGGCCTTCAGGAGGCGGCCGGTGGCGGCGGGTTTGACGGCCACGGCGGAGTAGGCCTGCGGTAAGACGGAGAAAACACGGTTGTCCAACTCACTTTAAAGCAAGAAACCTCAGATCACCTAATGATATGAGTGTGCAGGGACGTCTTAAAGTGTATATTAGTAATCTATCCAGCTGTGGCCCCTGACTGGCCCCCACTCATGCGCAGTAGTCGTGATGATTACCCTTTAAAGGTGTATTCTGACCCGGACAGACTCACCGGAGGCATGAACTGATGCAGGTCCTCTGGTCCCGCTGAGGCGATCGGTACTTTCTCTGAACTCCCGGCCATGACTGGAGCCAAACACCTGAGGAAACCCCAGTCCAACAGCGCCTCTCTCTCTTTGTCTCCCCCCCTTCCTTCCTTCCTCCCTCTCTCTCTCTGAGGGGGAGGTGGAGGATGGACACTCCTTCTCAGTGGCACAGGTCCACTTTTGCGCCAAAGCGTACACGTGCCTTTTCAAGTTTTAATAAAAAGGTATACCACTAATTTGAGCCAGAAGTTTTATGCTTTTCTTTCCAAAGAAAAAAGTCATTAATGATTTTCCCCCTTTGAAGATCACATAGGCGGCTCATGTAACTTACATGAGTTTGATTCCTGCTGTGATCCTCGGAATTTCATATCATTAAGCTTTATGACAGCCTCAGAGTCTGATCTATTCAGCAATTAAGAGGATGAGGAAGAAAGGATGAGGTTTGTCTCCCCGTCTCACCTTTGCACATCCCCCTCCCTCCCCTCTCCTCCTTATTTCTCAAAGCCTCCACAGACGGTTTCAGGTCAAAGGTGATTCTGGCGGAATGTCGCATGTTTTTTTTTTCCCTCCCCATCCCAGACACGGACAGTATAACCTATTTACACGGCGGTGTGCGAAAGCAGCAGCTTGTCGGACAGATTTCCACCGTGTTTCCCCACATCTTCTGTATCTGCGTCCAGAAGCTGTTATTAAAAATGCCCTGAATCCATGAATGATAATGACAGGATTACGTAAGGGGCGCACGGTGCGCATTTGGCAGATCGACAAAAAAACATCCTGACAGGATAACAGGAAGATTTCCTCACAAGGACTCCATGTTCTTTGACAGAATAGCACACGTGCGTTTGAATGCCTTTACTGTCAAACTTATTCTCAGGCTCCTTCTTATGTGTGGAAGCTTAGCAGACAAACAGTAAATGCGCCTTTACGCACGCACAGCAGCTCTCATTATGCACGTCTCTCCTATGCGCACGTTTCAGGTTTTTAATGATTTATGTAGTGGAAACCTGAGCCTATCTTTAATTCCTGCATTAACATGCGGGTCCTATGCAAATAAATGCAGTTATTAAATCCGCGAGAATGAAAAGAATAACTATGAAGGTTTTTTGCTCGTTATGCATGAGGTGACGGAGTGATTTGCTCAGAGAAAAACCTTGGCGTCTGCTCTGGCATCTCACCAACAAAATCGTATTCACAGAGGGGGAAAAAACTTAACTGACCTTCTTCAGTGGGCTGCAAGGACAGAGGCTCACTGCTGCAATAACAGCGACGCCTGTTGGCTTTTACTAGAGACTGATGCTCCTGCAAGGCACTCACAAACATCCTGCCCACCTGATCGTCGTCTGTTCACAGAAAAAAAACGCTTGACTCCCTTGTTCAGAACAGTATTTCAAAGTTTATTTTCTTTCCAGAATATTGTGATGATAAAAAAATTCTGTACAATTAATTATTATTGCATTCAAATGATTTCATACATGGTCATCAACTTGATACATTGTGGGTCACCAGCCCTCAAACCCAACAGTTTCTGGGGCCATTTTAAATAGTAAGCATGCTTGATGATCAATAATTACAATTCTTATGTACACATCTTTGCTTTATTATTACTTTTTTATAAAAAATAAAACCTCTGTATGTACAAATCTTGCATATGATACACTTTATGTCCAACAAAATGTCTCAAAGTGATTGGATGGACGTCAAATGTGGCTTTTACATTAAAAACAAAGACACACAAATATTAGGATATAAACTTATATATGCACACTCTCCACAACAAATAACTTCAAATAGTTACATTATCCTCATTGTCAATGACTCATAAATTAAAAATCTGAATACACTATACATTTCTTTGAGAGTGAGCTTAGGTATGTGTGTGCTGTTGTCTGTTTTAGACGTCATCGTTGGGGCAGTGTGTTGGGGTGGGGGTGTAAACAGGGATGCTGATGTCGCTGATCTCCTGCACCCTCACAGGCCTGGGCGGGGTGACCAGGACGTAGTCGTACTCTCTGTGCAGCACCTTCTCGTACACGCTCTGCAGCCCCACCGTTTTGGGGATGTGGGCCTGGTAGTAGTTGTCCCGGCGGTGGGGGTCCCGGGGCAGGGAGGCCGTTTTGGAGAGGCTGCTGAAGGAGGAGAGGGTCGGGGCCGGGGACGGGGCAGCGTTGGCTCTCACTGCAGAGGGGCTCCAGCATCTGTCCGAGTGACCCAGCACTTTACACTCACTGGTGCAAGCCCACAGAGCTGAAAGAGAAGCAGAGGAAGAGTTAGATTCAAATTGGTGATTAACTCCCATCACATCCGGTTTCCTGTTCATGTAATTTTCTGTTTTTCTTACCATTCTGGCCGCCCATGGGAGGAACCACAGCCCCATCCTTCTTCAGGCCGGTGTCTCCACTCACATCACTGTCACTGTCATTGAAGTCACTGTCCCCCTTGCCGCTGTCTTTGCCACTGAAGGCTGGATCTCTGGCAGAGATGGTGGTGTAGGAGTTGCCCTTCCAGATGGTGATGGGCCTCACAGCTTCCTTTCCATTCCCATAGCCAGGCAGAGTGGAGTATCCCTGCAGGGAGAGAAATCAGAGGTTACTGTCTGCTCCATGAACATCAGGCAGTTTGTGCGTGTGTTTGTGTGTGAGTGTGCGTGTCAGTCAGTCACACCACACCTCCCCCTCCTCCCCCACCCATCACCCCTGAGCACAAAGGTGCAGCTCACCTCGTGTTTATTCCCTCGGAGCTTGCTGTTGTTGTCTGAGTCGTACACGCAGGGCACCTCACTGCCGTCCTCTGAGGCCGAGCACATGTCGCTGCCCCCCGGGTGTGCAGAGGTGAAGCCCCCGGGCTGGCTGCTGTAGGAGTGTCCCTCAAAGCCCACTGCTCCTCCCGCTCCTCCTCCCCCTCCACCACCGGTTCCGTGCAGAGGCAGGAGCGGGTTGTCCGCCACGTGGCTCCTGCCCCGCTCCAGCGTGTCCTTCTCCCCGTACGAGTCGCTGTCCTCCCCGCTCTTGTCCCGCTTGCGCCGGTTGCAGGTGGTGGCGATGAGGATGATGGCGAGCAGCAGGAGGGTGCAGCTCCCCGCCAGGACGACGATGATCACCACCGACAGGTCCCACTGAGCGTGCGCCTCCTCCCCGCCGCCCCCGACGCCACCGGGCTGGTACACGGTCCTGTCGCTCGGCGGGGACCCGGCGATGATGAGAAAGTGCAGGGTGGCGGTGGAGGTGAGCGCGGGCCTCCCGTTGTCGCTCACCGTCACGGTCACGCTCAGGGTCTCGTCCACGTCGTGGCTCAGCACCTGGTTGAGGTAGATCTCCCCGGTGGCTTTGTTAACGGAGAACACGGAGGGCTCCCCGGTGGCCAGCCCGTAGGACAGCTCCGAGTTCACGCCCTCGTCCGCGTCCCGCGCCTCCACCCGGGTGATGACGTAGCCGCTCGGTGCGTCCCGGGGCAGCAGGACCTCAGCGGAGCCGTTGTGGAGAGCGGGCTGGCTGATGACCGGAGCGTTGTCGTTCTGGTCCACTATCCGCACGTACACGTTGGCGCTGCCGGACAGAGGCGGAGAGCCTCCGTCGCTGGCGGTGATCCGGAGCTCCAGCTGCTTCATCACCTCGTAGTTGAAACTCCGGAGCGCGTAAAGCGACCCGCTGGCGGGATCCAGAGACACGAAGGTGGAGATGGGGGAGCCCATGAAATAAGTGTCCGCCAGTTTGTAGCTGACCTTCCCGTTTGACCCCATGTCCATGTCCCGCGCCACCACCGTGGTGATGTACGCGCCCGGTGCGTTATTCTCCACTACAGCCACCTCGTACACGGGCTTACTGAACACCGGAGCGTTGTCGTTCTCATCGGTGAGCCTGATGGTGTACTGCGTGATGGTCCTGAAGGGAGGAGAGCCCAGGTCCTCCGCCACCACCGTCAGGTTGTACTCGGGAATTTTCTCCCGGTCCAGTGGGCTGGTGCTGACGATCATGAAGCTGTCCTCGTACGCCTGCTGCAGTCTGAAGTGATCGTGTCCGTACAGCGTGCAGTGAACCTGCCCGTTAGCGCCCGAGTCTCTGTCCGAGGTGCTGACCAGAGCCACGAAACTCTCTCTGGCCGCCGCCTCCGTGATGTACGCGATCCCCGCCGTGATGGACGTCATGGGGGTGATGGAGATCTCCGGTGCGTTGTCGTTAACGTCCTGCACCTGCACTACGATTTTGCAGATGGCCGGGCTCGGGTTCGGACCCAGGTCGGTGGCCTGGACGTCAAACTCGTACGTGTTCTTACTTTCAAAGTCAATCGGGCTCTCCAGAGTGAGCCGCCCGGTTTTCCGGTCCACTCTGAAGAGTTGTCGGATCTCCGGGGGCACCTGGTTACCGAACCCGTACACCACCTCCCCGTTCAGCCCCTCGTCCGGGTCCTCCGCGTTCAGGTCCAGTAAGAGGGAGCCCACCGGCGCGTCCTCGGGCAGGTCCACGGAGAAGCTGTTCCGGTCGAACACCGGGCTGTTGTCGTTGTAGTCTTTCACCTTGATGTTGATGCGCGTGGTTCCGGAGCGGGACGGGTTTCCTCCGTCCATGGCGACCAGCTCCAGCGCGTAAGAAGCTTGCGTCTCCCGGTCCAGCTCCTTCATGAGCACCAGCTCCGCATATTTAACCCCGTCGGCCCTGCTGAGCACGTCGATTGAAAAGTGGCTGTTGACGGAGATCTGGTAGCTTTGGATGTAGTTCACTCCAACGTCCTCATCCACGGCAAAGTCCAGCGGGATCCTCGTGCCCACCGCTGTGTTCTCGGAGATCTCCAGACTCGACTCTTTCCGGGGGAACTCGGGGGAGTTGTCGTTGATGTCCTTGACCTCCACCTCGACGTGGATGAGTTTGAACTGCTCTTTGGAGAAGCTGACCACGTCGAAAGCGATGAGGCAGTGCAGGGTGTGTTTGCAGATCCGCTCCCTGTCTATCCTCTCTCCTATGGTCAGCTGCCCGTCGCTCTCCCGCAGACGGATGAAAGACGAGTTGAACTGTTTCATCATCCTGAAATTGGTCCTGGAGCCTCCCGAGGAAGAGGCAGAGGAGGAGATGTCCTTGGCCAAGTTTCCAATCACTGTCCCCGGTGCGTCTTCCTCAAATGTCTGATATTTCACCGTCTTTCCTTGTGTGACAGCAGCCAAAGAGACGCACACGAGCACCAGCAGCCCGTTCCACCCTATTTCTCCCATCTTGACACCTTCACTCCAAAAATATTCTGAAATTCAGCAAACTGTCCTCACTCAGTCCCAACTTAGAGTTTAAACAAAACGCACCTATGAAAAAAGCTGCTCCTCCCGCCCTCCGGTCGACTCTCCGGGGCTGTGTTTTTGTTTTAATATAAAGCCTGTAATAAATATTCCATATGTCTTTCAATGCGCACTCCTGATGCGCTCCGCTCTCTCTCTACTGGAGGTGTGCTGCTCTCTCAGCGCAAGAGGGCTGCAGTGTCTGCAGGAGGGTTTATACGGAGAGGCATGCAAATGAGCCGCACTGTGACCAATCCGGGCTTTGAGATGAGGAAAAAAATAGGGGGACTTCTGAAAGACCTCTAAACCCTGTTTAGAGATTCCTGGACTGTGCGAGGAACTTGGCTCCCAATATGTGGGCTAAACGCGGGGCTTGATTTAATACAGCTATAGTTTCCGTTGCTTGTTTATGTTCCTGAGGCTGTTAAATGAGTCTGCGCACCGACACATGGGGGGAGCGCAGAGATGCGCAGTGTCCCTGAGTTAGAGGACAAAGCATTTGAATAGGAGTGTCTGCTCAGGATGCTTTACCTCCATAGGCGCGCGTTCAGTGTAAAGAGATTTATGCTTAAACACTAGTCTGCTTGGATCCCCACGCACGTGTCCCGTGTAACCCACGAGAGTGAGAACAGCCACGGGGAGGGCTGAGCTGCCCCACTGACCTCTGATCCTGGAGAATAACTTCATACCTGCAAGAAAGCAAGACACGATTCGTCCTTTTCTCCAACCTCAGTGCGCCCTGATCGACTAAGCCGCGCAGATAAGATTACTTCTGATGGACTCATAACGCTGAGGCAGCTAAACATGCTGAATAATCGCAGAGTCGAAAGAATGTGGTGTAACTGGTGGCAACGGCGTCGTTTTAGCGCTCGTTTTTTTTTCAAAATTCTCATTAATAAATTCCATACATTCGCTCTGCCTTCTGCTCCTTCATCCCTCTGGTGTGTTGTAATCCAGTAATTGTTTGCCTATCAGATCATATCTGAGAGCGAGAAAAAGGCTCTATATCCACTTAAACATTGATTTTTATTCTAATTCGGTCTCAGCTCAGATCGGCTCACGAGATGTCTTGTGCGTAAAGAGAGGGGGATTTTTTAATTAAAGCCGCTGTAACGGGCCGCTCCAACATGCGCCTCTGCGTGGCCTCGGCTGCCGGAACACAGAGGCGCAGGTGAACACGACACGCACACACACACGCGGAGAATCAGCCACGCACGCACTCACACAGCCTTCCACGAACCCGTTACAAATGGGATTTGGCTGTAAACGCAGGAGGGATTTATCAGGATTTCAATAGTGAGATTATATCAAAGGCCTATGAAGCCCTCGTTAGCAGCGGCGGGATAATGGCGTGGCGGGGTCTCCCTTTGCAGCCGTCCACGCCGGCATTGTGGCCCCTGAGCCGGTCTGTGGGGACCCTCACCCCCGCAGCCCTCCGTCTAACTGCAGCATAATGAGGCAAAGCCACATGTAGCCTTTGTGCCGTCCCCCCCTCTCTCCCCTCCTTCCTCCCCAGACCTGCCCCTGCCCGGCCACGACTCCTTTCATTACGCGGAGATGGGAGATGAATTGCTCTGGACATCAGGGTCCCTCCTATTAAAATACATTTAGAGAGAGACCGGGGCCCCGTCACGGCTCTTTAAGAGATTTTCTCATTCTTCCCTCATCGGGCTCCCTCTCTCTCTCTTTCTCTCTCTCTCCTTCCTCCTCAGCCTCCCTCCTCCTCCTCCCTCCTCTCACGCACACTCCCTGCTTCTTTTTTTCTCTCTCTCTCTCTCTTCAGGGGCAACACTTGCCTTGCAGTAGAAGCTAATATCAGTTGGCATGTTCTATAAAGAACCCATCTGCCACAGAAAGTCAAATAGAAGACACCTGAATGGACAACATCTAGTGGAGCAGCTTGCATAGTTAGACACAGTCAGGCCTGTTCTGAACGATAAGACACATCACTGTGTGACTGATTAAAGACTCCACTGCAAAACTGTCAGCTCTTACAGGAGTGGTGTAGAAGTAAAGGTACCAATCACAAACTTAAGGAACTGATGCATGACTGGTGATGATTTAATGCAGCATGATTTCCTGTTGCCTCATCGTTAACAAGGAGTCAACATCACTTTATGTGAGTAGTTAAGACAGTTTAAAGAAGGTTAACTCACATTTACTTCATAGTTGAGTCCAGTTAGCTGGATTTCAGTAACACAAAAGTTTATTTGAGTAACTGCAATTTATGTTTTTGTATCCGGAGACCAGTTTAATTTTAGAAAATAGCCTCATGTGTCTATAAAAAAAACAGACTCTGCACTCTAAAAAACAGTTTTTTCAGGAAGCTGTTCCAATAAATGCATGTTTGCAAGATGAGAATTGTAATCTATCAGTTTATATAAGTTGCAAACATTGTTTTGACATGTAGGGTTGACATAATAATTGCCCCAACTTAATATTATGTGTAATTTACACTCAAATTTCAGCTTCAGTTGGCTTCAAACTAAATTCAAGTTGAAGCAACTTAATGAAATTGGCTTGATGACCTATTTTTTTCTCACCTTGAGTTCAGGCTTTCAAACCCTCTCCTCCATCTTAACACGGCTGGACACTTTCAGACAGCTTAGACTTGCAGTTAAAAGTACATTTGATTGTAAAAGAAAAGCTAATTCCTCTAAGTCAATATAGTTTGTTGATTGAACATAATTTCAGGAGAAGTTGAAAAGACTGATTCAAACTGCTACTTTTTTGAGCCTAAACTTTTTTCTTTTTTTTTAGTGTGGTCTGCTTTGTGAAAGGTAAAGAAATTAAGTTTTGTTTAGATGAAATGTTGCTAACCTGATCCCTGTTCATGTTGGAAGTAACTATGAATTAACATTCCTCTACATGAATTCATGATACATCCTGTATTCATTCATGAAATATACCACCATGCACTACTTTAGATAAGTATAATTTAGGTATTGGCACCACTTTCCTATCGTTTATAAACAGAAGTCACATCAGGAAGAACTTCTGGGTTGCCAGATTGTGGAAAATCCCTCTAACTGACAAAAAAAAATACTACTCTAGACAAAAAAAAAAGTCACCCAAACAAATGTATTACATGCTTAAACTTCACCATAAGCACATTTTTTTCCCACAGACCTGCAGCCCAAAACGTCCCAGTGCTTCTGGCTGATATAATACAAAAGTTGAATCGAGGAGGTTGGGTGCAAAGTTGCAGCTGAACACCAGTGATCCCACTAAGCTGAGATGTTAAGCAGCAACTCTGGTGCAAATACAAAAAAAAAAACGATGTTTCATTCAGCCTGCTGCATTGTGAAGAGCCCATTCTGCCCAAATTGAAGGTTTTTTTTGTTATTATTTGAAGCACAGTAATCGCACTCTCTCACTCCGGGACTTATTTTTTTTCTCTTCTTCTCTTTTTTTATTCCTGCGTGAGAGAATCTTTCTCACACTGAGGAAGCAAACGACGGTGGATTAAAACACAGGGACTTTTTTTTTTCTTTTTCTGAAACAATGCTGGACAGCCTCTTGCATCCCTCCACCATCATCATCATCACCATCATCATCATCACCCCAAAGCTGCCACGCACACACCTCATTCTCTCACGTGATCACCGTGTCAATCTCGCCCGTCTGCACGCGAGTTCAACAAAAGCAGAATTAGAGAGAGTCTCCCAAATCCCCTCCATTCTTCACGGGACTTATTAGCATTTTCTTTAACATATATAAATACATCTTTAGACGTCTCTCTCTCTCTCCCCCCCTCCTCCTCTTCTCCCTTCTTCTTTTCTTTTCTGCTGCATTGTGTTTCCATTTGCTCTACTGATCGCCGGCTATTCTGGGTGTGAAGCCGCTCGCCCGATCCGTGCCTCTTGTTGGGGCTTAACGTCTTTGAGATGGAAATAGGCGATTTGGGGGTCTTTTGTCCGGCAGATAAGCGGTGGAGGGAGGAGGAGGGTGAGAAAGGACAGAGGTGTGTGTGGAGGGGGGGGGGCTAAGATAATTGATCAGACCCCCCCCTCCATCACCCCTCCTCCCTCCCTCTCTCTCCCTCACTCCTAACCTTTGCTTAACTCGCGTGCCATCACAAGCACTGACTCCTAATTGGTTCCCAGCACTAATTATCCAATTATCTCCTCTCAGCTCTGCAGGCTTCACCCTCCAAACTATTGATGACAATGATTAGGACTGAATGCACCCCATCAGCTCCGGAGTGCAACACTTGAGAAGCCGGTGTCGCTGCCCCCCTCCACCCCAAACAGGGGTCCTAAAGTGAGGGCAGCACTTCAGCTGTAGAGGTGAACATGCAGCCATTCAACCTGCAATAGTAGCAAACTCTCATCCAAATGGGAAACATGGTAAAGTGGTGCAGCAGGTTAATTTGGGGCTTTTTGTGCGGCCCCTTAGAAGTGACGGGTTTGATGGGTCCAATTGGTTCAAGCTGGGTCAGAAAGCCTGTAGCCTGGACAACGTTTTAACAATGCAACTATAAACATTTTGTCTGTGTTTCTACTGGAACATGTAATATTGTTATGAACTATAGGGTGATAAGGGGGTGGGAATTAATAAGTTTATACTCTCTCCGGCTCCTTTTTCAAACTCATGTTTGTACGTTTTTTCCCTTGTTTTTATTTTGTTTTTAATTTTATTTTTGGTTGACAAATATTTCATTCATTCATTCATTCATTCATTCATTCATTCATTCATTCATTCATTCACATTGGTTAACATTATAAGTTCTAATGATGTTTCTAATAATGTTTTTAGGATGTTTCTAATTCTAAATAATGTTCCTATAATGGTAAAAGTTCATTGAGATACAATATTTTAATTGGAACTTTAAGGGGATGTTTGGAGTAAAACAAAGAAGGTTCTCTACAATTTCATTCAGCAGACACTTCTATCCAAAGCGACGTACATCTCAGAGCAGATACAACACAAGCAAGGGTCTA